GTCCTTTGCGTTCGAAGAAGACCCGCTGTTGTGCAGTTCATCTGTGGACATGGAGATGGCTCTGCAGTCCCAGTCTGGAAGTGCAGAGTCTAGCACAATGGGGGCACTGGAAGCCCACTGTTGTAGTAATTGTGAGCGTTATTCTGTGATGCCGCTCACAGTTTTCTATCAGTTTTTTGGTGGTGTCTGTCTTCAAAGCCGGTGGATGCTTCATAGCACAGGGCTCACTGAGGGGTTCTATCAGTAGCCGCAGCTTTTAATTCCCTTGGTTGGATGTCCCAGTGGCACTTGTGTAGTCAACCTCAAGGTCTCTTCCCAGACTCCAGTACACTATAGAGCTGGTGGATTCTGTGTGATCCAAGGCCTCCAGGCTGGAGACACGGTTTTGCCAACAAAGGCTGAGGATGGAGCGGAGAGCATGCATGTGCAATTTCTCCAGTTCTCTGATGTGCCTATATGGATTCACATCCATATAGGAGAGAAGAGATAACCATAGCTCTGCAGACTTTCAGCTTTGTGGAGATATGGATGTTATGTTGACTGAGCACTCTAATACACAGCTGCCCCAGTGCCTTGCTGATCCTGGAATCAATTTCTCTGTCCAAAGACCAATTGCTTGAGATGATGCTTCCCAAGTATTTGAAGCTGTTTACATTTGTCAGCTGGGTGTTGTCAACAATGATTTTTGGTTCTATTGCATGGGCTGATAAAGTACTTCAGTCTTGTTCAGGCAGATACTCAGGCCAAAGAGCATAGCAGCATCTGAGAATTTGTTCAGCATCAACTGTAGATCACTGTCTTTGTGTGCCAGGAGTGCAGAGCCATCAGCAATGAGGGTTTCTTGGATGACTGTATGGAGGCACTTCATCCATGTGTTCAAGTGGCAAAGGTCAAACAGAGAGCAATCCAATCGGTACCTGATGTAAACTCCCTCCTTCAGACCTTGGACAGCACATGACAACATGCAATGAAGAATAGATTGAACAGGACTGGGGCTAGCACAACAACCCTGTTTTACCCCATTGGAAATTGCAAATGCAGCTGATGTATCACTGTTGTAAAGAACCTGTCCTATCATTCTGTCATGGAGTAGCTGAATCAACTTCACGAATTTCCTCAGCCATCATCCTCTCAGGATGATCCAGAGAGCCTCCCTGGTCCTCCAGAGTGTCAAATGCTTTTGTCAGGTCAATGAAGACAGAGTAAAGAGGCTTGTTCTGCTCAATGCACTTCTCCTGGACTGGCCTCATGGCAAATATCATGTCTGCTGTATCCATTCTGGCCGAACGCCATACAGCGCCTCTGGGAGGTTTCTGGTTCCTTTCCGAGACAGTGACAAGTCTGTTCAGAATGCGGGCAAAGATCTTGCCTTCAATGGACAGCAGTGAGATACCCCTGTAGTTTCCACAGTCTGATTTGCTTCCCTTATTTTTGTAGACAGCCACAATGAATGCATTGCGGAAGTCATCAGGCATCTCCTCTGTGGACCAAACTTCTTCCAAGTTGTCTTGGAACGCCTGTAAGGCGTTTGGGTCTAGTGCTTTGTAGATCTCAGCAGGAATGCTATCCTGCCCTGTTGCTTTATTTGAGTTCATCTGTGAGATTGTTTTCTTGATCTCATCAGTAGAGGGAGGCGGATCTAGAGCATCCAAGACTGGCAGCTGAGGAATCTGCTGTAAGACATCATGATCAACTGTGGACAGCC